GTGTGTGTGTGTGTGTGTGTGTGTGTGAGAGAGAGAGAGAGAGAGAGAGAGAGAGAGAGAGAGAGAGAGAGAGAGAGAGAGAGAGAGAGGTGTGTTCCGCTTCCTCGGTGGCGCTTTCTTGTCTTGAGATCACCATGCTGTTAAGAATGGATTACGTAACAGGAGGACAGTTGGATGCCGTACAGTGGATGCCGTACAGCGCGATCGAAGTTACCGGGAAGGATGACTGATGAGGAGGAGGAGGAGAGAGAGGGCAATGGACGAGAGAGGTTTAATACACAAGCGCGGAATGGCGCACGGCCAATCTGCCGTCCAGGAGATCGAGACCACCCAAAAGGCAACCCGACGAAATAATCACCAATGACGCAATGAGTTTATATCGTATCAAATAAATTAAACCGGGAGCTGAAATGGTACCACAATTACAGGAATGAAAGGGAGATCTAGTTGGCCGCCGTCACCGCAAGATTGGCAGCAGCAGCCGCCGCGGCAGCAGCAGCAGGCGTTGGACCGGAGGAGGGGGCACTCTTCTTGACGCGATTGCGTGTCTGTTGTTGCTGCTGCTTCACTTGCTGGCAGCGCTTGTTCCCAGCTATGATCGTGTGGGGACCACCTCGAGTCTCCGACGCCGCCTCGTCGGTATCCGTACTCAAACTCTGAGAGGCATGCTGAAGCGAGTCTGACAACGGCTGACCTGGAGCCGCAGCCGGGCTGCTAGCTCGGCAGAGCTCGAAGTTAAGCCCCCCTCCTCCCCCTCCTCCTCCTCCTCCACCTACTCCTACTCCTACTCCTACTCCTACTCCTACTCCTCCCCCACCGCAGTTCATTCCTCCTTGCGACTGCTGCAATTGATTCGCTGAAGATGCCGTGAATCCTCCCACCGTCGATGCGCCTCTCATCTGATTGGATGCACCGCTCATCCTGCTACTGTCGCAATCTCCTCCCTGCAAGAACCCTCCCCCTGCACCAAGATCAGCCCCTCCTCCTCCGCCCATGCCTCCTCCAGCCGATGCAACCAGAGCTGACATGTGGAAGACTCCTCCCCCATACGGCTGAAACGCACGCCCTCCTCGGCCACTCCCGCTGTTGTTGTTGTTGTTGTTGTTGTTGTTGTTGTTGCTTGTCGTAGCCGTGGCATTGTTGAGGTCCACGGTCTGCGCGTTGTTGTTCGGACTGGGCAGTCCGGGCGAGGCGCAGGCGGAAGCGCCAGGGTGGGACGAGGGGCGACCGGACGTGCCGGCGGCAATGGCCGCGTGGGTTACAGAGCTTGCAGCGTCGGTATGGACAGTGTTGCTACTCCGCCCCCCGGCCGGGCCCAGCGTCAGACTGGTGTCGAGATCCGCAGCGGGTGTAGGAGAAGGATAAGAGAATCGCGAGGCAGAGAATCCGGGAGCGGGAGGGACGACAGACAGCGAATGCGATGGTAGGCTCGGTCCCAGCCTGCCGATCGAAGTGCCCAGGCCAGTTAGACTGGTGGCGCTCATCGTCGACGACACGAGGGTCTGCCCGAGTCTGGTATGAGGTGGTGCTGCCTGCATGCTCCCGAGTCCTGTAGCGCAGGAGCCGCTCGCGCCGGGGGACAGCTTGTTGAGTCCGTCATGGACCTGATTCAAGTCGATGGGATTGGAGTTGATGGAGTTGGAAAGCAGCGCCCAGGGCCACGTGGCAGTCCGCCGAGCCGTCGAATTGCCTGATTGATCCAACGCATTCAGATTTGGGGGAGAGTGGGTAGCCCCCAGCAACGCGGAGTAGTGCTGACCGCAGCCGGGCATAGAGCCGGCAGCTGCAGCCGTCTGAGGATTCCCGAAACACCCTGCGGCTCCTCCTCCCCCTGCTCCTCCCACTGCCGCTGTTGCTGCGGTTGCTCCTCCACCTGCGCCTCCCAGACCCCCTCCCATCGCGCCTCCGTGCATAGACTGTTGTTGCTGCTGGGAGTGGCCCGGCGATTGACACGTCACCTGCTTTTGCAGTGCCGCGCCAGTGCAAGATGCTGACGTGGCAGGATGCTGACGTGGAACCTGTACTTGCGACGCTGTGTGATGATGCAGTGCCAGCGGATGGGAAGAAGGTACCGAGGAAAGGCCCTGGGACGCAGGCAGTTGTTGTTGTTGTTGCTGTTGTTGTTGTTGTTGTTGTTGTTGATGCTGCTGATGCTGCTGATGCTGCTGATGCTGCTGATGCTGAAGATGGTGATGAGGATGAAGTGCATGCCCATGGTTCTCGGCATTTGACATGATTGGGCTGGACGAGTTGGAGTCGATCCGCGAACTGGAGAGCTGCGGCGGGCTCAGCCGCCCAAGAGTACGGGGCGAGGGGGGCAAAGAAGTGTGCATGGACAGAGCGTTAGACAAGCTCCCGGATACAGCCGGGGGGAAAGCCGGACTGCCACCCTGCATCCAGCATTGCTGAAGGAACGAGCTCTTCGAGGAGGGGTTGGAGATCCCTGCAGGCATGCCAGGTCGCTGCAGCTGCAGCCGGGCAGTCAGAGCCTCGGAGGGATCCTGACCGTCCGTAGAACGAGCATTCATACCACCGGATGGCCGGCTATCACCGGGAGCGCAAGGGCTCATCAGAGAAGGAGGGACGCACGTTTGTCTCGAAATGCCCTTCTGTTGGGACACGCCCATGAGAATCTGATAGACCTGCAGCAGAGATACATCGACGGACAAAAGGACAACAAAAGGCAACCAAGCAAACAAGCAGAAGCACATTTGTTAAACACTCACTCTCACCCACGCACAGGATTCTGCTTTTGATGGTTCTCAACAGGCGGGCGTTTTCGGGTTGCAGTCGAGCTAGACGGAAAGCCCAAACCAAGGAAGAATAAGGTCCATCCAGGTATTAATAGGAGGGAGAAGGGGAGGCTTGTGAAAGACAAATCTGCAAGAACCTTTTTTTTTTTTTTTTTTTTTTTTTTTGCATGAACCTTGCTTAGCTCCTCTGTATCGTTCCAGTTTTGACAGATGTCCCAAAGGACCAATGGGAAAAGAAGCATGAAAGGGAGGAACCCTCACCCACCTTCTTCTCCTCGGCGAGGAAGTGCTGCCGTTTTCTCTGTAGGTCTTCCTTCGCCTGAGCAAGGCGCATGCCGATCGTTTTCGCCTGAAACAGCACCGATTGACGCGCAAAAGAAAAAACTCCTGTCGTCAGTATAACCCCAATTTCGAGCACCAGAAGAATCTCAAGCCCTTGTTTGTGTGCGTGTGTAGGTGTGTTGCATGGGTGCCTGCACTGCCTGGGGATGTGTTTGTGTGTGTTGTTACACTCAAAAAAAGCATGACTGTGCCGAACAGACTGTTTCGACGGACTTTCACTGACTCATCAGGAGGTTGAACCTGGACCGACAGTCTGCCCAGGATGCATTTGACGTATGGACACGGACTCACCACATCGCGCAGAGTTAGCAATACCCTCCCTTGAGAGAGAAAACCGGTCACACCAACCCTGCAATCCTAGCCGACTGTCAGTCCAAACTCACACCAGGTCGACAAAAACGGCAGTAGATCTGACTGTGTGTGTGTGACACTGTGTGGTCATGTTCGCTGCGCTCCATAGAAACGGAGCGTCCGTGCCACACCGTTTCGTCGGGATTTCACCCACTCACCACGTCCGTGTTCGAGTGAGTGCGTGTGTGTATGAGCGAGAGAGAGCGAGGAAAAGCAAAAGGCTGGCATAAACGCAGGCTATGTTTTGTCTGTGTGTTGGGGGTCGGGGTGAGAGAGAGAGAGAGAGAGAGAGAGAGAGAGAGAGAGGGATCAGGACGTGAGAATTATAGGCGGAGGATGAAAAGAGATAATACGAACCATGGCCTCTAGTTGCGCGACTTGGCGTTCATCTTCAGATAGAGCTGCTCGCATCTCGGACCTTTGACGGTCCATCAGCCGCTGCAGCCTCATATACTCGTCCGCCGCCTTGTACCGCAACGAGAACAAACGGTCGATGTGAGGTCCGCGAGGACTCATTCCAGCAGCAGTGGCTGTCGTTCCTGGGGAGTTGGTTCGCGCCGATGCCGCCGCCATTTCCTCCTGAAGGCTGGCCATATGACCTGCCACCTCCGATAATCCGTAATCTGCCGGTGAACGACCAAGAAAACACCAAAGAAAGAAAAGAAAACAAATCCGACGTCAGATTTTCCAGCTCACCTGTTTTTCCATAATCTCTTGTCAATTCCCTCTCTCTTTCAATACCATCACATTCTACAGCTCTTCCGTGCAGAGGAGGGGGGGGGGAAGGAGGGGGTGGTCGTATGCGTTTGTTCGGGAGTGAGAGAAAGAGAGGGCGGCCAGTGGGGGATTGAAGCAGAGAGAGAGAGGGAGAGATGTTGCGTACTCACTTTTCCAGGGAGCGGAGGTCAGCGGTTCTATAACTCCGTCGAGCTTGGCCGCTTCGTCTTTGTCTATATCTCCCGTGCAGACCCCCACAGAGAAGCGAGGATCGCCGCTTGACATCCCCATGGGATTAACATTTTGTGAATTCTTCCCAGCAGCAGCGGAGTCCACCTCCATACCGTCTGCTACTGCAGCCGATGCGCCTTTCCTTTCCACCATACAAGAAGACCCTCCAACCTTCACATCTCCTCTCCCAATTTTCGCTCTCTTGGCCGGTGGGCCACACTCCTCCTCGTTCGGCGCCACAAGGAAAGCCTTGACAGCTTGAGCTGCCGCTGCAGCCAGAGCATCGTACGGACTGCCGCTGTTAGCTGCATCTCCACTGCTATGGCGGCCACTACCTCCCATTAGACAGGCGTTGTCCATGGCCGCATGCAGGGGAGTGTGTGTGTTCCCCGACGTCTCCGAGCTGGGGCTTTCAGGCCGTCGTATATCTCCCACATCATTCCGTCGCCGTTTGATGACTGTCTGCTTGCACACTCTGATCTCTCTCGCAGCCGAAGCTATCGCGGAATCGTGCTGCTGCTGTTCTTGATGCTGCTGTTGCTGATGAGGAGAGGGCATTCCCCCCGCGCTGCCGGCGCTCTTGTAACTGCCACCAAGCAGCGAGCACCCAGCACCTCCACCACCACCTCCGCCGCCGTTGCCGTGCTCGGACGATCCGCTCTTCACGTCGTCAGCAGCCGTCAAGAGGTGTTGTGGCATCGGCTTTTCGTTGCGGTGAGAGTCCTCCGGGGATCGCCGGTCATCCACTGCCTCCGGCAGCGTGTCCGGGAACATCCCACGCAAGCACACGGCTGGAGCTGGACACAAAGACACGACCGTCACGACAATGCCGGTTCAGTACATCCAAACCTACAAAACCCGAGTCCACGTCAGACGGAGGTCGAAAATCGACAGCGGAGACAGAGAGAGACTTAAATGCGAAACACAAAAGAAAACGAAGACGAAGATCTATCTCACCTGGGTCTGGCAGCGCCCGCTTGCCAAGTGGGGTCCTCTTGCGAGAAATGCTATGAATGGGCTGCAAACAAGACGCACAACCAACATCAACGCAGTGTCAATCGGACATGTTCTTGGACAGATCCGGCTGAAGGCTGCCACCACAACTGCAAAGGAATGCACGCATACACACACACACACACACACACACACACACACACACACACACACACACACACACACACACACACACAGACACACACACACACATGCACACCCCGACAAAGGGTAGGTTTCAAACACACACACACAGAGAACAACAGACACACCCGTACAGCGACATGCACACACAACAAAAAAAAAAAAAAACGCGCACACTTAAACAGAGCGAAAGGCAGCTAGGAAGACGTATTCTGCAGGAGGCTCACCTTTGAGAGGATGCGGAAAAATGGTCGCGTGTCTCCGAGAGGATACGGCTGCAAGAAACCAAGACGAGGAAAACAGCGCATCGCATCCGTCAGATACTCGTTGACTTCGAGAGGAAAACAGGGGCCACATAAGGGCTGATGGAGCGAGATCATCGAAGGGCCACATCTAATCAAGCAACGAGATGAACCCACACAGTCAGTAAATAGACAATAACGGACTATGAAGCTTGCGAACACGTCTTCACGCACGCATCACTGTCTTCTCACCTGAAAGCAAACCCGGAACAGCCTACTGTCGCACTTTGACGATAGCTGTGAGATTGTGAGCTTGAACGAAGCCCGTCCTCCGACCAGCTTTGTCGGCTTTTCCGTCGAAGGATACTCCACTCCGTCGAAGGTTGTCAACAGAGGCGCCTGCGCATCCGAAATCACACAGCACACAGTAAATACATCGACGCCAGCGGGCCCTGAAAATTCAAACCATCACGTTCCGAAGACCACAAGCACTTGACTGAGAACGACAGAGATGTACAAAGTCCTGAAAATTCAAACCATCACGTTCCGAAGACCACAAGCACTTGACTGAGCACGACAGAGATGTACAAAGTACACACACACAAACACACCTTAACACCCATAACACCCATGCCCGCACGCTCACACGGAGAGAGAGAGAGAGAGAGAGAGAGAGAGAGAGAGAGAGAGAGAGAGAGACATACACACAAACACACACACACACACACACACA